TTAGGAAATTAATATGAGGTTATTTGACGCCAATTCAATTTATCTTTGGATAAAATTGTAGCTAGCTTAAAGCAGGTATTACTTAATGTAATGAAATACTGAGAATCACTTAGTTCGGATTCATCAATGCAGCTGCTTTGAAAACAATTGACAAAAGCTCGCGAATCGCTTGCAATAAAACTGCACGCAAGTATTTGTTGATGCCTCAACTGCCACGTCCACATTCGCCCACATTGCCACACTCACACACACACATTGACACACATACACTCATTCATAGTCTAAACAAAACACGCATAGAAAATGTCAAGAGTAAGAAAAACAATAGAAGCAGGTGCGCTGCATCGTAGCCAGCATCCAAGCCAAGCCAAGCCAAGCCAAGCTAAGCCAAGCAGAGCTGAGATCTATATAGCCATATTGCTTTTATATCCTGTATATCGCATTTTGATTGTTGTTCTCGCCTTGCCACAGCATCAGCCGAACAATGGACTCATTTGACATATCAAGCGAGGAGGAGGAGGCGCTGCTCGAGGAGATTGTCGTAGGCAACGGCAGCAGCTGTCACATGAGGAGCCTGCAGCGGCTGCAGCACTGGCACTCCGCCTCCACCTCCACCTCGGCGTCGTCCTCGTTTACGCGCACGCAGCACAGGCAGCAATACGAGCCGACAGAGTCGCCCATCCACTACTGCGACCATGCGGCGCTCTACTCGGATGACAATGCCCAGGAGCAGCCCCCGGCAACGACGCAGCCGACGATACGCTGCAGCAGCAGCAGTCAAAGCAATCTGGCAATCGAGACTGAGCAGTACGACGACGAGGCAGGAGGCGAGGTAGAGGGCGAGGAGGATGCTGATGCTGATGCTGATGCTGATGCTGATGCTGATGCAGTAGCCAGTGGTTCAGGCGCCGGTGGCCAACAGCGTCTGCATACCTCCTTCAATCACCAGCTAACAGCGGACATGTGCAACTACAAGAACTCCAAGAGTCGCCGCCTGGAGTACTCGCTCAAGTGTCTGAAGTACGGGCGCAGCAATCCCTCGCAGGACTCGGCGTTCGGTTCGCTGACCGACAACGACCTGTCCATTGGCTCGTCGAGCATTCGCCTCAATAGTTTCCAGTCCATCTCGTCCCCGATTGACGAAGGCGTTGAAGACGTCATTATAGCCACCACAACGGGCACCAACGAGACCTGCTTGGAACTGGCCACCATACCACGCAGCATGGTCTCGCAGGACTCGGCCATCTCGTCGCCTTGCCGCGAGAGCTCGCCCAGCAACTTCTTGCACATCGACGACGCCATGTCCGGCACGGGCTCCACTTCATCTGGCTCGGGCTGCGCCTCCCTGGGCCACATTCGACCACAGCACTTCCCCGTCTCGCTGTCCCCAAAGATTCTCGTCACGGCCACCAGCAACTCCAGCAGCTCCTCCTTAGCCTCCACTGCACAGACTCAACAGCAGCAGCAGCAGCAGCAGCAGCAATTTGATCCGCCCAAGATTCTCGTTAACGATCAGAATTCTATCTACACCACATCGCCTTCAAAGCGCTCCAGCATGATTGAGGTCTTCTCGCAGAAGTACCGGGTCAGCTCCTTCGAGGACATGTCGCCCAAGCGCTCCAGCTCCGATAAGCAACACTTGAAGCATGTCAATCGCTTGGCCTTCCGCTCTCTGGAGGAGGAGCGACGCATTGATAATGCCTTCATGCCCATGTCGGATCGCACCCATTCGGACAATCGCGTCAACATGCAGAGTGAGAAGTACAAGAAGCTGACGCACGCCTCCTTCCGCATCAGCAAGACCTCGTCCAGCCAAGACCAATCGTCACCCACCAATCACCCAGGCTCCTGCAACATGGAGCTGCAGCGGACTGGCAGCTCCTCGGGCAGCCAGCGCCAGACCCTGTGGAGGGACAGCAAATTCTATCGCAAGAACCGCATTGCCAAGAGCAACGATTCGCTGCTGGAGCACTCGCCCAGTCACTCGTCGGCCCACCTATCGCCCGGCTCGCAGGGCAGTCGCCGGTCGCTGAGTGTCACGACTAGCTTCTGTGGCCAGGCGGGCCAGGGCACGCGACGGTACTGCAGCTCCAAGAGCGAGGATCTGGGCGAATCCTCTGACTACTTGCGCGTCATGGACGCACGCAAATCGTACTCGGAGCGGCATCTGGTGCGGCTCAAGCAGACAGCCATCAACAACACGCACAGCGGCAGCGAGGACGAAATGAGCTTCAACGATGACAATAATGCCTCCTCATCCGCAGCTGGAATCAACAGCAGCAGCAGCGGCAGCGCCCATAGACACCAACACCAACACCAGCAGCAGTTGCGCTGGAGCAGCTGCTCCATTAATCACCTGAAGACGACCAATATTAAGACCACATCCCTGGCCACGCTCACCTGCCAAACGAATTTAAGCCCCCAATTTGCCCCAACTGCCAACAAGACGGCCAGCTATCGCACCCCATCCAAGTCCCTAGATCAGGCACTCGACGTCGACGGCAACAGCATTGGCAACACCAACACCAACACCAACACCAACACCAACAGCAGCAACAGCAACAGCAGCAGCAGCAACAACAGCAGCAAGGACAACAGCTCCGTGGACGAGTCACCATCGAGGCAAACTCTAAGCGGAGCGGAGCTCTCCCGCATCTTTGTCATGGAGATGGACGATGCACCGGGCAGCAGCTGCAGCGAGGAGAAGACTCCCTTACTGGACAGCGTCGAAATGTCGCCGATTAGTCCAACCGAGCCGCAATCAGACCTGAAGAAGCTGTAAGCCGTAGCCACAGGCGCACACGCATTGAATGGCCCAAATGCAAAGCATGTGATAAATGATCGAATGGTTATATATATACATATGTATATATATGTATGTGTGTATGTCCTTACCAATGCAACTGGAGGGGAACCATCAAGCTATCAAGCCGTGGGCGTCGAATGTATGGACGCAAGTTCGAGCTGCTGCAAAACACAATTCACGTATTGACAAATCACCATTTTGCTAGTTTATAGTGGAATGACACCTGCTGCTTTTGCCTCTGGCATGCACTGCAGTGGCAATTGGAATCGTTTCGTCTGTTGCCAGCGCAATGTCGCTTGCAGTTAATATTGCATTTTGCAACACTAATACAGCATACTGAGTGCTCTCATTTCGCTTTGTTTTTCGCATGCTTTCCACAGCATTCGTGAAGTATATTGGTGTCATATGATGTCATTCCACAGCCGTTCGTTTCGTTTTCTTCTTCGCCTACAAGCCTTTGCCATCAGCATTATGTGGTGTCATTCCACCACAAAGCCGTATGCCATTCAAATTAACGGCCAAGCAATGATCGAGGGCTGCTTTCGCCTTTGCCCACCCACATCCACTCTTAAAGCTTTCTTCTGGTAACAATAATATTTTCTTTATATGTATTGTATTTTACGCTTATAAAGGGCGCTTTTACTGCAATTAAGTCTTTACAAATGCTTTTCAACTCTCTAGACTGCTAAGCAAAAATTATATATACTAGAAACCAAAACAAACCAAAGGAAAAGGAATACAATATATATGTATTTGAGCATCAATTACACCTTTTTTAGCGTATGAACTTATACACACATTATTTGTAGCCAACTACACAGCTAAGACTTAAGCTTCGCAGCAAGTATTGAAAATATTTTACTGTAGCTTAAAACCGTTTTAAGGCCCATGACAAATGGGATACAAAAATAACAAAATAGTGTGTTAAAATAAACCAAATGGATCACGTTTTAAATATATTATTATATATTAATATCTAGTGTATGACAGAGCCAAAGAAAATAAATGAAAAATAATTTAAATTGCAAATACAAATTTATGTAGGTAAAATATTTATAACTACAACTAAATGCAATTTAGTATAAAAATTATAACAAAATGTCATTCAAGTGTTTTAGCAGGGGCTTTTCAATTTTGATGGACAACGGAAATGGGAAAATAGAAAAATGGGTCACATGCAGAGCAGACAGACAGAGTATACGAAAATAAAGTAATCAAAACTCATGAGTTCACAAAAATTCAGTATATTATAAAAAAAAAATAATAATAACAAGTTTTTGTTGACAGAGGTAAACAAATTTCACTTAAATATTGTAATTAAAACAATAAATATACAGAAAAAGAAAACAAAAATTAATCTTAAATCTAAGAGTGTTAACGAAAATACAATAAAAATGCAATCAAATTTACAAACTTACATACAATACATATATATCAGAAAAGCACTCACTAAAAAATGGAAAATAAATATAAATATATACAAGCAAATCAATCGTAAGAAAATCTACATTTAGATGCACGCACCTAGAAAGAAGCACTTCATGGAAAATTCCCGGATTAATCGTTCGATTCGATACATAGAACTTGAACAGAGCACAGAGTTCCATATTCAGGCCACGTACATACATTTGCTTTCAGTTTACTATTATTACAATTAATACATAAGAAGACATTTGATTTAACTATTAAGGTATTATATTAAAGGGTTTGTGTACATTTATTTGATAAGTATGAAACTAGTTTAGCTCTTCTTGTGTGTGTACGTATCCTTTTGAAAAATGTTGCCCAGGACAAGGCAAAAGTAAATAGCAAAAGAAACAAAAAAGAAATCGCCCCTTAAATGAATTTTAAATGCTAACAATATAAACTTGTTTATAGAATCAGTGATATTAAGTAAATATTTTCATGATTTAAAGTTTTGAAATAAAAAAAAAAAAAAAAAACAAAAACATAAAGCTAGAAATTCAATAACGTAAAGCGTTTTATTCGTTTGGCCAAACAATGCATTTCACCCATAAAAATATTTGATTCTCCACTGATTCAAATATTTAATTTGGCGCCTATATGACATTTGCAATTACTCATAGATCGGGCTTCCATGAGATAGCAGCAGACGTTTTACAGCACTAAATCGACATGCTGCACCATCGGTCTGATATCGACAAGCCGCCACAAAATCTGCCGGCTTTCCACTTATCGATAGCATGAATCGAGGTAAACAATTGAAATAGCAGCAGCAATATAAAGCAACTAGCACGAATGGCAACGTTTAAGCCAAAGTTTATAAGGCCAGAAACAGACGATGTCATCGATGAAGGAGGAGGTGGCTATCAGGAGCCGCAAAATTCAGCTTTCGTGTTCAATGCCAATCATAATCTGGGTCTAGTTGAGCAGCGCGAACGGTTGCCCATCCGCAAGTATCGCGACCAAATCCTGTACTGCCTGGAAAACCACCAGGTTGTCATCCTGGTCGGCGAGACGGGCAGCGGCAAGAGCACGCAGGTTCCGCAGTACCTCTACGAGTGGGGCTGGCACAGCAAGGGCATGATTGGTGTCACGGAGCCCCGCCGGGTGTCCGCCGTGACGCTGGCCAATCGCGTGGCCCAGGAACGCGGCGAACTGGTGGGTGATACTGTGGGCTATGTGGTCCGTTTTCTGGAGCGTACCTCTCAGGACACTCACATAAAGTACATGACAGAGGGCATTCTGTTGCGAGAGCTGCTTGCCGATCCTCTGCTCACCCAGTATGGAGTCATCATTGTCGACGAGGCGCACGAAAGAAATATGCTGACAGACATGGTGCTGGGTCTTTTGAAGAAGATCCTGCGCAAGCGCAGCAACTTAAAGTTGATCATCTCCTCGGCCACCATCGATGCGAGCTTCTTTAGCGAGTTCTTCAGCTGGCCACGGTCAGGCGCTGAGGCGGAGCAGCCAATCAACGTGAAGCTGAGCATCGAGGGACGCATGCACGCCGTCAGTCACTTCTACCTGAACGAGCCCTGCGCGGACTACGTGCGCGAGACGGTGGAAACCGTGTGGAAACTGCATCAGAAGGAGCCGCCCGGCGACATACTGGCCTTTCTCACCGGTCAGGAAGAGGTGCTGGAGGCCATGGACCTACTCCGTGAATACATAGCCAGCCAGGAGACGACCAATCTCAAAGTGCTTCCCATGTACGGCAGCATGACGAGCAACGACCAACTGGCGGTCTTCTTCACCCCGCCCAAGGGCGTCCGCAAGGTGGTGCTGGCCACGAATATAGCGGAGACCTCGATCACGATCCCAGGCATTGTGTATGTCATCGACTGTGGCTATGTGAAGGTCAAGTGGTACAACCCCACCACGTGCAGCGACAGCCTCGTCGTCGTGCCCGTCAGCAAGGCCTCGGCTATACAGCGGGCCGGTCGTGCGGGTCGCGTGCGTCCCGGCAAAGTCTATCGGCTGTATACGAAAGAGGACTACGATGCGCTGGCCCCACGACAGCCGCCAGAGATGCGTCGGAGCGAGATGAGCGGAGCAGTGCTGCAGCTGAAGGCCTTGGGCATTGGCAACGTCCTGCGCTTCGACTTTCCCTCGCCGCCGCCTGCCAAAAATCTGTTGTCCGCTCTGGAGACGCTCTACGCCCTTGATGCCATTGATGAGCAGGGTCAGCTTACGCGACCTGTAGGCTTCCTGCTGGCCGAGCTGCCCTTCAGTGCCATGCTGTCCAAGATGCTGTACATATCCGGTCAAATGGGCTGCTCGGAAGAGATCATTACGATCATAGCCATGCTCCAAGTGCAGTCCGTCTTCTCGCGTCCCGCCTCGGCGGCTGCCCAGCAGAGCGGGCGCATCGCCCATCGGCACTTCGAGGTGGCTGAGGGCGACCTGATTACCCTGCTCAATGTGCACAGCGCCTTTGTGGAGGAGGGCATGACCAAGGAGTTCTGCGGCCAGTACTATCTCATCTATCGGAATCTAAAGCGCGCCTGCGAACTGCGTGAACAGCTGCTGAACTTGGCTAGGAACAAGTACGGCATTGCCATTTTCTCCTGCAAGGGCGACGTGGAAATAGTCTGCAAGTGCATCACGGCGGGCTTCTTCACCCAGGTCGCGTATCTGCACCACTCGGGGGTCTACCGGCAGATCAGCAGCGGCACCGAGCTAGCCATTCATCCGAATTCCACGCTCTATACGCTGCCCCAGGCCCAATATGTGGTCTACTGCGAGCTGCTGCAGACGACCAAGCTGTTCATGAACCACGTCACGGTCATCAAGAAGGAGTGGCTCACGGAGCTGGCGCCGCACTACTACCAGCAAACCACAGTGCGAGACTAAGGGAAGCCGATTGCAGGTAATCAAAATCGATATGTATATGTATGCCTCTTATAACAATTTAAATTTAAACTAAAGCTAAGTCGTTTGCTCTGTTGCTAGCCGGCAGCCACCCGTCCGCGACCCTGGAAGAGCATCATGGACTCCGGACCGCGGATCACACGCGACATCAGCTCCCAACACATCTTGGCGGGTAACAAACTGCGAGAAAAGAGTTTTCAATTAAAAAATGTATTAGGACAGAGAGAGAGAGAGAGAGAGAGAGAGAGATCTCACTAACCATTTGAGCGGCGTGAGCAGGCGGATGGAGTTGGGGAGCACACACCAGACCTCGTTTTGAAGCACTGCGCCCTGAATACGGTCTGCTACATACTGAGGCTCCAGCATGGGCATCATGCGCGGCTTCACGCCCGAGAACATGCCCGTGTTGATGTAGTAGGGGCAAATGAGACTCATCTGTATCTGGTCATAGCCGTGCGCCTTGAGGTCAGTCAAGAGGCTCTCGTGGAAGCCGATGCAGGCGTACTTGGTGGCCGCGTAGTCGCTGCAGCCGTAGGTGCCCAGCATGCCAGTGACGGAGCCGACGGTCACAATGTGCCCCCGATTGTGGCGCATCATGTGAGGGAGGAACGCCTTCACCGTCCAGTAGTGCGAGATGATGTTGATGTTGTAGGTGTTCTGGATGACGCGGTCGTGCAGCTCCCAGAAGGGCTTGCAGCAGACGATTCCCGCGTTGTTGATCAGTATGTCAACAGGGCCGACATCCTCGTTGACCTGCGCTGCCCGCTGGTAGATCTGCTCTCGGTCGGATATATCCACCACATACCCCCTGCAGTTGTTATAACCATGCTTGGCCAGCAGATCAACTGTCGTCTTGATGGCTGTCGAGAGAAGAGTCACGCTTAGCTAATCAATTTTGTAACTGTAACGCAGCTTTCTCCGTGGCAGAGTTCCTTAACCCGCCGAGGGAGCTGCTAATTGCCAAGCTGACGTGCTCCAATCACTTAGCTTGCCGGCGTTAATGAGCCGCAGCAGCAGCAGCAGTAGCCCATCGGTTGCCTAACCCACCTTCTTGATTGATGTCCCAGATGACAATGCGCGCTTCGAGTCTGGCAAAGTTGAGTGCTATCAAACGTCCGACGCCACCGCCACCACCTGTTATCAGCACCACCTGTCCGGAAACATTCTGTTGAAATGAAAGCGAAAGTGAAATTGTGACAATAAATCGAATCAATATTGAATTTTATGATTAAGTACTTTCAAAAGGGAAACATTTAAGCTTAGCATGGAATATTAACTAATCTGAAAGATCAAGTATCTTATAATAAAATTATTAATAATTGACAGATAGCTGTTATAGTAACTACAATACTTATGATATATATAAAGAAAAAAAAAAATTACAAAAATGTTAATTTCCCATGGAATATATAATGTGGAGTTTACTTTATATAAAAAACTGATAATAATTGAAATATAGCATATTAATACATCTGAATGTGATCAATTACTATGTAATATCTTACTAATCGTAGATCATCTTGGTATTTTAGATACTCAAAAACACGTTTCACAGATACAAAGACAACTGTTTCCGATTTTCATATAGTGCATATATATTCAAATTAATGTAATAAATATCTATGACAGTGCTTAGGTAAAGTTGCAGATCCGTTTGGGTGCGTATCGTAAAGATAAAAGAAAAACCGCATTTTTCAAATACAAAATAGGAATAAATAATGTGCAGCAACCGCTTTGCATATTTATTATGGATGCCTAACCAAGTTTTGGAGCTTCGCTTGCAACATGTAACAAAACCCAGCTCAACGTCAATTAGGTAAACGGTGGATATGTCGAAACGTCTTATAAATAAATATAATAAGACGCAGATATATATTTATATGCATCTACATACATATATGCATAAGCAGAGTTCAATCAAGTTTAGTCTTCAAGCTCGGCTTACCATGAAGCAAAGACATATTATTTGTGTAGCCCTCCCTAGTATTTATACCTACATATATTTTGATACTCTAGCCATAGCATAATATTATTTTGCTTGATTTCCTTTTGTGCTGCGGCAATCGCAATGTCAGGTTTGCTGATTCCAGCGACTGCAGTGCCAGCGAAGCAGCAACAAAGGAAAATCTGCACAGGCAGAAAAACCTGTTTTCCGAGCACAATACTGAAAAACTTTTGTTAAGAAAATCTATTGAAATTAATTCGAGATATTTAAACTATATTTAGAGGTAGTTAGAGTTTATTAATTCGCGATGTTTAAAACTATATTTAACAGAAATAAAAACAGACTCTGAAAACTCTTCCTTTCAATGTCAGCTGTTAAGAAAATCAATAGAAATCAATTTGGTATACTTAAAACTATATTTAGCTGTAAAAAGACTCTTTAAACTCTTCCCATGCTTCAGTTCGACGTTCAATGTCAGCTGCCCCAATTGAGAAACAAATAGCCGAAGCAGATCGACAATTATAAATATTTGCGGATTCCATGGTAGCGGCCACTCGAGGCACAAGTGACGTCCACGAATGCCAAAATAAATCTTCGAAAACGCAAACAGAAATTGTGCAAATAAAAAACACGCATTCATTGATAAAAAGCCAAAATCAGAAAACAAAAAACAAAACTCGCCAGCGTGTGAATCCGATTTTTGGAGTTTTTTCATTTTGTGCGCTCATTGAAGTATGTCCGAAAAACAAAGCCAATGTTTTGTTAAAGATTTTGTTTTCTTTTTGTTTTTTGCTGTCAGAGTTGAATTTTACAACAGTTGTAAAATTGTAGCATAGCAATGCCAAATTAAATTGGAAAGCCAAAGCCATAAAAATGGCTGTACAAACGATCTATTTGATGGACAGTAATACTTAGATAGAGACTCGAAATTGTTGATTCCCTAAAGCGCGCGTGGCGCACTCTGAAAACTTGTAGATGAATAGTCAACAATTACTTCAGACTACTCAACGTTAATTTATAATCATTATGACAACAAGAGTGCCTCGAGCTGGGAGTGCCCGACTAGGATATAGTCGGAATCCTTCGCAGAGCTGCTAATGAATACCCTGTAAACTATTAATCTGTCCTAAGGAAATTGGATTAGTTACAGAAATAAACATGTCAAGTTCGAGTTTCTTTTGTGGTCTATGAGAGCTCACTACAGGCATCATCATACCCCAGTTTGAATGGCTTCGGGGTATAATGAGCAATAATAATTCATTCATTAAATATGTTTGGCGTGATATAGTTTTTTTGATTGCGCTCACTTTTGTAATTTAATTGGGTTTAATTATAAAAATGTGTTACAGATAAAGTAGCTAATGTGGTCAACACAACACTTAAGTCCGATTTAACTAGTTATGAATGAGCTAAGATTTGCGTCAAAGAGTTACCAAAATCAGTTTAAAAGTTTCGTTAGGTCTTATATCAAATGTCAAAAGTCATGTAGGCAATATATGATATACATGTATGGTATGTGATATCATTATCTAATTATGCAAATATAATTTATTTGCGTTTCGTTTTTGCTCACCTTCAACTTTCGAAAGCGCTGCGGTAATATGGTATAAAACAGCGATTCGAATATATAGAAAATCGATTTCAAGGCAAACACAATTAAATCCAGGAAAAATTGGTAGAAAGCAACAAACGGCTTATCCATGTGCAGCAGGCCAGGGGGCGTGGCGTTGGTCATTGTGGCCCACACTAATGATCGATCGACGTCTGCTTGAACTCTAAGTAAGACCGGGGCCTTGCCACTACAAAGCCGACGGAGACGCACGTGTGCAGCTGGTTGCGTATGCGAAACGCGATTGTCCGTCTGATAGCCTTTGTTATACGCGCCTAGTGGGCCAAGCACTTTGCATGTTAATGATCGGCTTGATTCAGGTAGTGAGCCAGGCCAGCCAGGTACGTATCCACGAATTCAAATGAAACTCATTTAAAATTTCTCTATGCGCGCGTTTGCGAATGTCTTTTGTTGCCGTTTTTTGATTACTTTTATTTCTTATTTCTCTATTTCATTGTTGTTGCTGCTGCTGCTGCTGTTGTTGTTGTTTCTTTTATTTGCGCAGGCGCACGCCACGTTATTAAAATTTCGTTGTCGATTCGACGGCGGCTGCGGCTGCGGCTGTGTATTTCTATTTACTATTCGATTTTGTTGACTACGTTGGCGTCCGCGTCCGCGTCGTCTGTTTGGGCTGAAGTCAAAACACCAACTGAAAGCCCAGCGGAATCTTGCCTCAGCTCTGCCGCTCTTTCTGCTTTTATTTTATATATTCATTTGCGGGCGCCGCAGCCGCAGATTCACAATAACAACAGCAGCTACTACAAAATAGTCAACCGCAAGGGAAATATCAGCAAAACAACAAACAGCCTCTATCACTTTCTTAACTTGGCTAGCGAAACAGCAGCTAACCTTTTGTGCTAAAGAAGTGGACAGAACCAGTTTGATAATACGTTTTATTGCTCCAGACGGCCTTTATAGTCTTGTCTTAAGTTTTAGGCAAAGAACCTTCTATTCTTCCGCAAGCCATATCAAATGGAACATCAACATTTATTATTACAATATTATGTCATTAAAATACAAAAATAATTTATTCTATTGCTCTCCAATCAGTTCAGTTTGATGCTCAGCATACAAATTTCCATATGCTACAAAAGTATCTACGAAAGGCAGAAACTGAAGCATTACTTTAGGCATAGTAGGAAATTGAAATGTATCTCGCGAATACGTGTATATGTGTACATATGAGTTTAATGGGTCAGGTTTGCGGTTCAAACCCCATTCACGACACTAATAAAATAAACTAAATAATTCAAGTAATTTTTTTTTTTTTTTTTTTTTAAACAAGAAGAGCAACCTTTTATCAAAAATAATAATATTATAACAATTTGCAATCGCATTCAAATGCAAACAATTAAACTTTAACAGCACACAGCGCATTTACCCATTTAACAGGGCATGTCGCTGTTAACCGTAGCACGCTGTAAGTTGCCTATACAAAAAGTCACCCCCATGCTGCTGTTAACGTAAAAACGTTATAATTCCCAAGTGAACGTTCGGCTGGTGCTGCGTATAAATACGAGTTGCATAGCGGTGTTAGTTGGAAGTGTCTTCTGTGATTGTTCTCTGTGCATTGATCGATATATAGATGCCCATCTGTTTATCAGATCTGCTCAGTGCCGACCCTCCGTCACACTTTGTTTCCCAGTAATTCTGCCTGGCATTGATGTGGCAACACGTTCTGATTGGCTTTCCGCTGCCTTTGCTAACGACGACGGGTCGATTAGCAACAGACGCACGGTCATGCATCAGCACCACCCACCGCCCAACCTCCGCCCCTCTCACGCGTATTTCAACCGCTTCTGGTTGAGGATGCGTGTATAGGTAACGGGTTGGGCGGGGGGCCGCTAATGTTGAAGCCAACAACAGTTGCCCAAGTCAGCCATTTTCAAAATTTCTTGGTTAAGTAACTTTGTAGCTTAGCTTCGGATTTTCGTAATAAATTTGCTGTTCAGAACACTTCCATGTACGCGGCATTGCCGAGCAATTTGCCCATTCTTTTGCTGAAAATTTCAATTCTTTCCTACACCACCTAGACAATCACACAGAATATATAAAAGTGGAGGGGGTTACATTTTATTTTGGTGAATTGACTCGCTTTTCACCGCTTCGTCGGCATGCAGCCGTAGCGCAATGACTTGCGAGGCAGTAGAGTGAGCCATATCCAGAATAAGGCGACGGATGTGTAACATTGTACAGTTGACAAAAGCTCTCCGTATCGACGGTTCGGCACTGTAAGCGATCGTGATTGGGGTGTGGAGACGACGATTGGCTTTATGGGAAGCTCGACATCGGGGCGCGGCCAGAGATCCACCTGCTCTATGCTCTCAATGTTCTTCAGATACTGTTTGAGTTCATTACGTTTCCTGAAATTCACAGTGCATAAAGTCTACGTACATCCCTTACAACAGGGCAACTTACATCTGACGGTCTTTGAGTTTCTGTTCGAGTTGTTCAACTGTTGAGCGCATGTTGGCTAGTTCCTCATTCTTGTCTTCCAACTGAAGGACAAGGGACTCCTTCACATTCCTGTGCTCCTTTTCGATCTCGCTCATCTCTTTCAGAAGTCGCTCCTTCTCCTGCTTCAATTGCTGCACGTTGGATTCCTCCTCAGCCAGCTTTTGCTTTAAGTTGAGCTGCTCGTAGAGCGCATTTCGAAGATCTTCATTGCATTTCGCCGCAATTTTCTTCAGCTCCAATTGCTGAAAAGTAACATAGGCTTTTATGTGAAGGCTATACAAAATTCGATTCAACTTACCTCTTGTCTGCAGTAGATTAGCTCTTTCTCCAGTTGGTCCTTGTCGGCCTGCAGGTTGATTAGGGAAGTGTTAAGCATCTCACAGGACTTTCGCGCCTGGTTCATGTTTATTGTGGATTTCTTCAGTTCCACTTGAAGCTCCCTGCAACGTTTCTGCTCGACGCGCATCAGTGTTTTGGATACATGTAGCTCGTTTTTAGAGAAAATGGACTACAGGATGATTCTTATAGAGAGATGAATAGACGTATTCCTTATCATATACTCACGTTCTTTTGGAGACGTTCCACCGCCTGCTGCAATTTGCGGACATCGGCGCGGCGTTGGCGCCATGCGTGCAGCATGACCGAGGTGACGACTCTCATGCGAGCAAGCCTTATCATATCCTGGGTCGATTTCCACTCGGCCGACTGTTGCTCCATCACTAGGTTGCTGCTAGACGCCATGACCTGGTTGTTAACCGTGCTCCACGAGTTGTTCACGTTAGGTGCGATCGAGTGTTTACTGTAGGGGAATTTTGGGGTCTTATCCTCTGGACACATATCTACGATATCCATGGTGTATGTAAAAGGTGAGTTTTAAGGAGCTTAAAACGCGACAATAAAATGGGTAAAACTGCAATTTTAAAAGGGGTAGAAGCCAAACCCCATAAAATAAACAAATTTATTTAAATCAGGTAGAAATATACAACAAAAAAATCAAATTGAAATAAGGAATTTTTATGTCTACACAAAATTTTGTAGTTCCTATAGGTTGAGAAGTTTTATTCATTGTGCACTGCGAAACAATACGAGAAAGTGTCTCGCACATCGATTCGATCGTTTATGTCATTTAATTGCTTTGCAGTATTTCACAAGAATTCGTTTGGGTAGGAAAGTCTTTTTTGTATGTTAACTGGCAAATTGCACGCACACTTCCCGCAGGTGGCTCTAAGAACCGAAAGCAAGTGTTTCGGTTGTGCATAATCGACTAGTGAATGCTCTCTCAAAGGTTAAAGAAAGATAAAAGAAAATAAGTGATAGCAATGTGTATTTCTATTCTACTGCATTTATTCGTTTGTCTGCTCTCATTTTATACATCAAAGCCAGACTCAAACTTTAATTTAACATTTTCAAATTAAGTATGTCAAAATACTTAATTTAATTTAGTTTCATATATTTCGTCTTTAGCATTTCTCAAAGAAATATAATACCACAATCATAGCTTATAGTGAATAAATCATAAAAGAAATAATAGTGAAAATATAATGTAATAAACTTGACCTCAAGTTAAACTGAATTTAATTAAAGTCAGTCGAGTGTAATTAAACCTCACCTATACACCTATCGCATTTGCAATCTGTGAGCGGCACCAGAACTTTTACAAGGTCCTTCACCGCAATTTCACCTTCGCATTGAACGCGCTACTTTGTATAGTTGGTTACCCAAGTCGGGCTAGCTCAAGGACACTCAAGGCACAGGAAGTTCAAAGAGCTTAAATGGCAAAAACAACAAATAAATCAATATGTCGTGTATATATGGTACAATAGCGTCTGTTAACATGGCCAGCACGTGTCGGCTTTATGAACAGCCCACCCCTCGGTACTTACGAGCACTATGCACCCACTGACAGACCCCATTCGGAAATTTAGTCATACCCATTCGTGAAAAACCTGTTCGGTCCAGGCAAGTACTGGACAAATATCACGCGATTTCAGCTGAAAACCTTTTCCAATTGGCTGTCGACTGTTGGTTATTGGGCCAGCCTACGGCGGTGGGGTATGTTTGATCGATGTCTGGCCCAGGGGGCTATGGGAGCCAGCAGCTATTAGCCAGGACAACAGTTGTTGAGTTTAGGCAGTCCAAATCATGCTATCAAATCGTTTTCCTTAGAATTCGTATACCCTGAAAACATTGAGCATGGCTACAGAGAGTATATTGTTTTTATTAAGACAGATAACAGAGAGACTGCATATAATAGAGTATATTGTATTCGTCTATCCGTATGTATAGTTTGTCGGATGACACTTACAAGCTGTTTAACGTCTGTTAAAATCAATATTTAAGTAAATTAGTTGCATTCATTCATATCATTCTCCATAAGGCCCTCCACTTTTCCAATATTTCCACATCACAGTATCTCCTAGTCAGGCAGCCCCAACTAGAGCCCTTTTACCTGTTTGTATATATGTTTTTTGTTGGGATATGTCGTTTGACATAATTTCTATTTATTTTGATTTGAGCTCACGGGGAAATTTTGATACTTCAGTTACGATTGTCACATGCCAGTTGTTGAGTTTTATGACTTATAAGCATATACATACATATGTTATATATATGCATAAAAGCTAAATCAAGTATATCAAGAATCTCTGGGAATTGCCAGCATAAAGACGAGATTGTTATGGGGGAACTTGAAAGGTCATTCGATCGAGCTAAATTCTGTATAATAAAACACTTCCGAATTCTGATTAAATATGAATTCAAGATTCTTCTTCTTCMATATAGGCATCTTTCACTCTCGCTGCATGAATCAGCATTGAGAAGTTTTCACAATTGATGAGTTCCGTGGAATTTCGTTATCCTGAATGTCAAAGTTCGAGCGTGAAAGCGAAAGTCGTGCTACGCATGCTGCATGCCGCATGTCGCATGTGAGTCATGTGCTTTGGGGACTATAGCTATGTATGTATTTGCCATAACAAATAACAAATACCGGCGCATGATGATATCCTTTTCCAGGAATTGTAGCTTGAATCAGTCGACAGACAAACAAGCGGCTCAGAACACCCATGCCACCCAACCACCCAACCCAACCAGCCAACCAGACCGTATGGCCACAACAAAACATTTTCATTCATAAAAGCGTGAAAAAGCTTTTCCTCGCGTGTGACTCAGCCGCGGCATTAACACTGTAAGAAATTTCCAGTAGCCAATTTTGCAATCAGCGTGACTCAGCGCAGCGTAGCTCAAACCACACTAAGTTTGTGACGTTTTATTGGTACTCTTCCTCTCTCTCTCTCTCTCTTTCTCACTATGCTTTTGCACTTGCACAGCAAAGCACACTATTGCATGCTTTGCTGTCTTCAGCTCAACTGTTTACGATCGTTGTTTTTGTGCCTATCACATCGAGCGATCAGGCGCTGAAGGCAGCTCCACTCAGCTGGCAGCTGAGCCACAAACTGTCACGTTTTGTTTGTCGCTCTCCCAGACGCTCTCTCTCTCTCTCTCTCTCGCTCGCTCGCTCTTTTGAGCCTCTCTTGCAGTTTGTTTTTAACAGCTATTGCTGCGTCACTGCTTTCTGTCTTGAGCCGCACTCTTCGCGATGTTTGTTTTTGCTGTGCCCTGCCCTATCAAACGAAAAGCTCTTGGCTTGGCGGCACTTTTTAATGGCGTCTGCGTGACTTGTTTCGCTGCTCTTCTTGGCTTTTCGGTTTAGTCTTCAATTCGCTGGCGTCGTGATCGGTCGATCGAACACTCGTTGTTGTCGTTGTCGTCGTCGTCGTCATCGTCGTCGTCGTAGATTTGTGCTTTTACAACTCTGCTTAACGCATCTTGCACAACAGCGCGCGCGCGCAAATGCTTAAAGCTCTCTCTCGTGACTCTCTCTCTCTCTCTCTCTCTCTCCCTCTTTATCTGTCTGCTGCGTACTTGTGGCGCAGGCAAGTCAAGAAAACCTGTGCATGCCAAGTGTAGACAAATTGTAGATAAAAATAAAGTAAAGTAAAATGAAAACGTAAAAAGGTGCATATAAATTTATCAAAGTTTCACTAGCGAGTTTTTGGTAACAGCTAAAGTTTTTGCATAACAGCAACCCCAATAACAGCACAGCTAGCAAAATAATTACCAATAATTATGAAAACAAAAACAACAACAAATCAATCTTCTGCAACGGGGCCCAAATTCACGTACACTCGATAATGTGGCCAAGAATTGAATGTTTCGCTTTTCGCCGCGATTAGATTACGCCACTCAAAAAATTTGTTGTCAAATGCCGCTCGACAAAAGTTTGTAGAAAAGCTTGTTAGACAATAACAGCGCACATATTTTGCATATGCGAGTGTGTGTGTGTGTGCCTGTGTGTGTGTGTGTGGATTGTACATCGAATTCAAATTAAGTCCGCCGCCGCGGTCACAAAAACAAAAACATTGTTGATGATCGCATAAGTATAAAGCCCGGAATTCCCAAAAAGAAAACAACGTCATTACAAAAGCCCGCGCTCTCCCACTCTCTCTCTCTCTCTTTCTCTCTATCTCTGTATGTCGTCTCTTTATCTATATCTCTTTGGCTTGAGCTCTTTCTATCACTCCACCTCTCGCGCTCTCGCTTTCGACGACAGTCCACCGCAAACTTCGATGATTTCTTAGCGTTTCATTAGTTTTAAATTTTGTGACATTTTACTTTTTACTTTTTAGATACTCGTTCCAAATTTAAAGAGAGACTATATGCACCTATCTATTCGTAATATTTTCATTTTGGATTTCAGTAATATATTGAGGGCGTGCCTCTTCCTCATATTAGTTCTCTAATAAACTCAAATGAACCAACCGTGAGCGAGTATCATGCAGTCGGTTGTACATTTCTTTTCCAGTTGTTACTGTTCGTCTGTTATATCTCTCACACTTTTAATTTCTTCTCGCTTCATTATCGCATAGTTCTTCACTGGCCTCGTCTGTCGCTTTGACTGGATTCGCAGTTTTTCGCGCAACTAAAATAAATGAAATTTTAATAAACTGAGAAAAGTTTTTTTTGTTCTGTATATTAAAAGTTATTGAAATAGCAAACCGGTTTCTGTAACGTGTACTTCATTGTGTAGAATATCATTAGCAGTACATGGAATATTCTGTCGACTATAAATAAGTTCGCATTACTTGTTTACTCAGTCCCCATTTACATAACAACATTATTCCTTCGACTACTATCAAGCGTCGAGGTGTTTTAACCGTGTTCTATTCCAGATATGAAAGTGTGAAATCCATCTGTAAAAGCTATAGAAAACCAAAAGAGCAACACTCGATGCATTTTAAGTGGTTATCAAAAAAACATTGACTAAGGTGAGTAGCTGAAATATGTGTGATACAACTGAAACCTTCAGATTCAGAGGAAAATATTTTTGTATTTAGCTGTTCATAGTATTTGAATTGCATAGTATAACTATCAGATTTAACTAACATTTCTATATTATTAAAACAATTATTATTATTGTTATATTTTATAAGAAACACTTAAAAAATTAAATAGAAAATGATTATGGGCATTTCTTTTGCTATAAATTACAATCTAATCAAAGAATTGCAAACTGATCGCAGGCTACAAATTTACTCTGTTACCATACTACTGTTATACACATAATTACATATATGTATGTATGCACACACACATAACTACAAAAATGTTGACAATCTTCGGTCGGAAATGCCTTCTATGCGATATGCCCAAGTCTAATGAGAAACCAAACTTCAAATATGCATCACACATACATGCAGATCAGTGTATATGTGGTGTATATTATGCATACTTCTGATAGCAGTAGTAAAATATTACTCATCTGCTGCAAGTCGATTAGGGCTATCAAATATTAACATATACTACTTATATTTCTGCTGGTAGCACCAATTCGCTCGCAGTGTATTTACAACCCCTTGTAAAAGCTTTCACAAGCGCGCGCTTTCGCTCCATCTCTCTCTCTCTTTCTCTCTATGTGTCTACCTTTCTCGCTCTATCTCGCCTGCTATATCTTATGTTCTGGTGTGTGGATTATACAAACGATAAATTAAAACAGAAACAGAAAAACTAAAACACCTGTGTACATGGCAGTGCAGTCGCTATCGCTGCCTCTGCCTCTGCCGCAGTCGCAGTCGATGTCGCCTAAAACTTTTCTGTGTTTGTTGGGGGTGTGAGGAAAGCTTCGGCATTTCGTTTTCGTAGGCACTTGCATTTGTTTGGGGCGTTAAAAACAGCACGAGAATTTCCAATTGGATTTCATTTGAAGATCGACTCGTAGGCTCGACGGTTGTGTTTGCACGGAAAAGCTAACGGAAATACTAGAAAGAGTGGATTTTATTATATCGCTCTCGATTTAAAAGTGAGTGTGTGCAAAGCAGAATCGAGGCGAATTTAAACTTGTCAAACATGCTCAGAGTTCCATTGAATAAAACTTAAGAAAGTTTCCCAACAAAATAAAACATATAAAAAATGTAAATCATGTCTTAACTTGTAACTGGCTAGCACTACAGGTAATTACAGGTGTTGTGATGCTTTTGGCTAATTCAATGTAATTTTATATTGCACAAATGGCATGCAAAACCGGCTGCTGACTCAGTACTTAGTGTTAATTGTGCTTCTGTGTATATGCAAGTGTGTGTGTGTGTGTGTGTAAGTGTGTTTAAGACAAATAACAAAAAAACAACTGCAAATATAGCAAGTCATGAAGAGTATAGTTATCTCAGCTGCGCGATATACAAAGCTCAACTTGTGTAGCCAAAGCTAAGTCAATAAACGACATTTCGTGGAACTTTCGCGGGGTTTGATTGATGAACCGATATGTGTATGTTCATTATCTAGTATAGAGGAGCATTACTTTCAATCATCAATCATAACAATCAAATTGAAGCTACATTGCTCAAGGCTTGACTGCCATTCTGATAGAGACAGCGTGACAGTTTATTAATATTATATAAGATATTATTTAGATGTTAGGCTATGAGCTATTAAATGAATAGCAAGAACAGTGCTTGATAGGGCACTATAAAAAGTGGAATCATTGATTTTCTTAAACAAATCTTCAAATCTTAAGTCGGAATTAGTTCATTTCATGAAATAAAAGATTTTGTAAAAAGATTTACACTTGCATTCTCGAGTACGAACTAGTTCAATTACAAATATTCATTTCTGAAATTAGTAATTCTTAAGTCGGGACTAGTTCCACAGATTTGTCAATGGCGGCATCGGCTGTTATTAATTGATTTGTATTTTTATTTTAGCTGTAAATTGCTTGACGCCAACGACCATTAAATTTGGTTGTTGTTGGCTTTTTGCTTGGTTTTAGCGAGAGTCTCGGCGTCTTTTTGGCGAGCATCTGTGGATTCGGAACTAGTTAGAACGTGTTTTCGGACCAGATTGAGGAATTCAGCTAGAGCTGCTACTTTGATGTTGATCTTAATCTTAATTTGTAGAGCCTGGCGCCAAAAGATTTTTGTTTTTAATTTTATTGGAAACATCATAAAACTAGAATATTTTAATCTATTGAAGACATTTTATTCCATTGGCCGAATGGTCACAGCTGCCTGATTGGCGCCAGTTGGTTAATTCCTGCTCACCTCCCGCTCCGTCCCTTTCTCTTTCTCTTTTTCTTTTTCTTTTCTTTTGTTTTTGTTCGAGTGAGAGGGTTCCATCATTAATCAATTTTATGGTTTCAAGCTTTGTTTTTATGCCATGAATCAATTGAAAATTAATGAAGTGGGTATCATGTGTTTAGTGAATCCAAATGCAAAAAGCTAGAAGGTATACCCATTTACTCTTGAGTGGAAACTGCTGAGTCGAAGAGCTGAAGACTTGCAATTTAGATGTGAATTGGAACTATAATATATCAAAGGTGCTGAGTTCATTCATCAAGTATTCTGCGTACACCTTGAGGTATATGACAGTTTCTATGTCTATAGCTCTTGGGCACTGCCCAGCACTGTGGACAGTTCAGGGTATTTCCCAGTCAGGCAAAGCAGTTATACTTGTTTTTGTGAATCAATTCTGTTTGGTTTCTACCTTTACATCGCTGCTGGAAACTCTCGACGTGTGTTTTTGTGTATCATCGATTATTTTATTTGACTACTATGTCGTTCCGTATCCAGCTATCTGATACGCATTTTTTTCGGCCCATATCTGAAAGCCGGCAATTCAGTAGCTTATCTGCGCTTTTCGTGCGTCGGATCCGTTCCGTTTTATGATGCAGATATGTATTTAGTGCAGGTGCTATAAACAGTGCTCTAACAAATAAATTGCCATATAATCACATGTGCCAGACTCTGGAAATAATATTAATCCATTTAAGGGGATACATGCCCTGGTCCTTATTATAAGCTCAACTGTTGCAGAACTGTTTGTTTCACTCTATTAAAAAGCTTGTACACAATTTTTGGGCTTGTATGTTTCTATATCTAATCTAGTAGTTCTGGCTGTTAAGTTTGAGAGATAGGCTTGAGCAATAAATCCATTCATCCGATTTTTATATAAATTCATTAAAATTTGGGCATTCGTTAAATTCATTTGTGTAATAAAAGAAATAAGATTTATAATTATAGAGTAATTAAACTTATGCACCGACTCGAGTCTCTCGGTTACTGACCTTGCGTTCCACATAAATATGTATGCATTTCTCAAGAATCACCTCCATTAAATGTCATCACACTGATGACAAAAAAACACGCGTTTTCTGAATGATTCTCTGCCGAGTGGGCCACACGAGCAAATTCCTAGCATATTTGCTTCTCTGAAAATTCATTAAAATATTATAGATTGGTACACATATTATATCGAAACGTAATAATTATCTTAGCCATGTGAGTCAGAGATTTCTTGGAAATTCTCTGGGCTCTGTCAAAACGAAAACATTTCGTACAAGTCGTATTTAGCCTATAATTATCACATATCTTATAATGCACATGTCTTTGGCTAACCAAAAGCTCACATAATTATCATCATAAATAATAGATTGGTAAAAAGATTTTCAAACTGCCTCTTTTTGCTTGATAGAACTGTTGACAAGTGTCTTGCTCAGTGTCCGCTGAACGGAAATGCCAATAAATGCCATTGGGCATCTGGCCCAGTATGCATCTATATGTATGTATATATAGAATAATATACATACATATATGTAGTTACCTGAATAATCTGTTTATTGTGAATGTCGGATAAAATATTCATTCTGTTTGTGCATTTATAGGCTTTTACAAAAATCAAACAGAAATTTAGCGTTTAAATGTGTGGATATATCTATATTTTAACTTTCGATTATTCTTGGAGAAAATACTATTATATACGCATATATGTATGTATGTATACGTAGTTCAGTTTCAGTCTAAGCTTAAACACAAAGACACACATCAAAGACATTTTTCAGATACTTCGATATACGTATGTACATATGTATGTATATCAATTTACCTCTTCTCTATATATACCACAAGTATGCTATTTCTTGTTACAGTTATTGTTATAGTCAGATACATTATTGTATAAATATATATAATGCTTAAAACTCAAGAAGTGAAAGTATAGGGAGTCTCGAATGTACTCTCCTATACAGGGTATCTTCTAGTCTGGCGCAGGCGTGTTTGCATTTTCTGAATGAATTTTTTTTTTTGGGTTCTCTCAATATGAGTCAGATTTAGTGGAATTTCAAAATACATAAACATCAGATATATGATTTTATATACAAAAATATGTATTCGCTTACCCAAATACATATTCTTAATTTAATCAGTTGCTAAAGACATTGCTTTCTAAGTTCACATGCTTGGAAATCGTTTTGTGTTGTCTCTTCCTATTTTGCTATTGAATGCTTACCAATTGTAACGTAGAGCAGCTGAAATATCAGTTATATTTGCTAATTCTATATGTCTTAGAGTACAGCACATTAACTGTTAACTTTTAACTGTAAAGTATATTTTCTAATGATTTGTTGACACAAGTGTTCGAGAGTTTATTGACATCGCCAACAGTCCATTCACAAGCTGCTTCCCTACCCTGGCTAATCTAAAACAATATGTATTTATAAACTAGGGAAGACATATCTTTTTGTTTTTGTTTTGCCTTTCAGCAAGAAAATTAGGAGCATTGCATGGGAAAACTTTACATGTCAGCCAGAACGATGAATTCCTCAAAATCCGTCAAATAACAAGTGAGAATGTGGGGATATAACCGACTAGTGTGATACACGCCACAGATTTGATAACAAAATATTGAGAATCTCTAAGTCCTAGCTAGATGAGGATATACTTGAGTTAACATTGCATTCCTTTCGCACATTTCCCATAACCAATATACACGTTTCCCGATTCTGAACAAGTATAAAAATCAACGTATATGCTACATAAAGCAGGCGTACATATCGTGCTAAAAGACTAACAACTTAAAAGACAAAATTGAAAAACTGAAAAACAGAAAAACAGAAATAGCAGAAAAGGCAGAAAAAGCTTTGACGACAAACCGAAAAAGATGAACTTTCAGGGAGGAGCAAAACGAAAATGTTCGAATGAAAATTCGCTCGCATTATTCGTTTAGTTTCGCTGTTTAGTCTACGGCCGATATCCAAGAACTCAAGACGTGCGTTCCAAACACAAAACAAATTAAAAATTTGAATATACTCATATATATATACATATATAAGAAAACCGTGCTAACATCTATACATTATACTATATATATTTCGCTTATTTTTCCGGACCGGTTGGATCCGGTTGAGACTGCAAAGCGAAAATCAACTCGAGTGTGGCCTCTAGCATAAATAATTGTAAATAATTTTGCACAAAAGTTGCTCAAAAGAAAAATTTGAAAAAGTCGAAACTAATTTTTTCATTTAATCGATCGATTGATCTTTGGAAAAGTTTTGAGATTGGAAAGAAATATTTTTGAATCAACAACAGTGACAGGTGATTAAAGAAATATACTCTTTGCATTGCGAGTAAAAATATATAATTTTGAGAAAAATATTACAAACATTGGCTTTTGGCCAAATTATCATGTTCCACATTTGTCTAATATGCAAAATCATGACGTAATATTTGCAATAAAGTGAATGCAGAATATACCATATAATATTATATTTTATATATATGCAACTATAGTTATATATGTACACTCATGCACATATATATCTATAAACTCAAACGCTATATACATATGCTCTATAGAAGCCTAAATGGGAATCATATTTGCATTGATATGCGAATTGGCTTTGCGTTTGCTTCTGCTTTTTCGTTTGCTTTTCTTTTAAATATGCCGCGATTTCAGTTTTTTTGTTTTATTTAAATCGACTATGCGAAATTCGTTTTCCAAAAGATTATTTTGATTCACATATGCTAGCTGCTTTCAAAAAATGTGTCAAATCTTTTATAATGCCCCTTCAGACAATGAAAACGGGCGTTTCGGTTTTGGACAATAATGCTTGAAAGTCCTAAATATTGATTGCATATTGATTGATTGGTTATGTCAGTTGCAATTCCTTATTCGAATCCTCCCACATATGATACAAATGTGAGCTCTACAGTATTGTAATATAGGATCAAAGAATCATAGTTGCCCTTCTCTATAGAGATATCTATAAATGATATATCTATAAATGATAATTCTACTAGATTTCTGCTATGTTTTCTTACAGGTTTTTACAAATTACTCTGCTAAAGAGATCCCTTGAAAATTTATAGCAAAAGCCTATTTAGTCTCGGCAGAGCATAAAATGTAAAAAAAATAAAATAAAAATTATGATATATATGAGATATATTAAAAAACCATTAATATATTTCTAATTTTATATATTTTCTGCATATATAAAATCGACCAATCTTGACTTTTATTTTAACCAGAAACAAAAAATATCCATACAAAATGATGTTTATTTTCTTTATTTCAATTAATTAACTAAACGATTACAAAATTGGCAAAACTTTGACTTGGACTTTTTTTCAAAAATTACCCCATGCCATGCCGTGCAGACCAATTGACGTATTCTTTAATGGCAGACCAATGTCTAGACGTTCTATGAATCGAATCTCTGAGGTCATAGAGCTACTCACTATACACGACTGTCTGCATATATATGGTATATATGTATGTCTATGCCATACATCAATAGTATATTTTTATATAAGCAACAATGGGCGATCTTTAGCCGAGCGTTTGATAAAACGACACTTTTTATTATGTTTTGGAATTAAACCAAATCTTTGGGGAGGCCACTTAACGACTCACTCTTTACATATGTATGCAAAGACATGTGTGTGTATGTGTGTGTATGTAATGTATGTATGTATGTATCTTCGTCTATACTACCTGCTGAGCACTTGCTCTACTACAATATATAGATCGGCCAGGCGCTGTGTGTGGAGCTGTGTCGCACACGCATTACGCAAAATGTTATTTATAAATGGATGTCCGATGCTAACTTGGCTATGGCTATGGCCAGGCCCAGGCCAGCACCAGCACCAGCACCAGCAACAGCCAGTTCTACACACACTAATGCACAGACACACACAAATACATACACACACGTGCGGTCAACTGCAGTGGAGCAAATGATCTGACGAGTCTCGTAAATTTTTAAATGCAAGCCATCATATCGCAATGTACACAAACGCCCACGTTTCATGTTTTCTTGGTGACTCTTTGCTGCTGCCTGAATGCGAATTTTGTCAACGACTTAGATAAATCAAAGAGTTTAAGACTCTTACATGTGTCTGTCTGACTGGTCTGTCTGCCTACCTCTAGCCATGAAAATGTATTTCGAGGAGACTTTTCAAAATGTTGTCCGATAGATGTATAAATCAGTTAAGGTCGATTCCATTTGCCATTAGCAGCCAATATACTCGTCTTGCACCTCGTTTATAAATATTTATTTATTTCGTGGAAATTAACCAAGAGAAAGGGGAAAATCGTATGGGGAACTATTTTTGGGATGCGGCGTCATTGTCGTCTTTGGCTCAATCGAGGCGTCAGCGCGTTTGCCAAGAATTCTGCGTGTTGGCTCGAGGAATCTACAACCTTTTTCCTTTGCTTCTATTTGCAGTTAATATTTCGGCCTTGAAATGTTTCCAAATCAAAACAATTTGGGCGCTGCGGGTGCAGCAGGCGATGCCCAGCAGCAGAGCCTCAACTACAATGGCCTGCAGCAGCAGCAGCAGCAGCAGCAGCAACAACAACAGCAGCAACAGCAACAAACTCAACAATTGTCACAGTCCACGAAGAACGTGAGAAAGAAACCGTATGTGAAGATAACGGAACAGCCCGCCGGCAAAGCGCTGCGTTTTCGCTATGAGTGCGAGGGTCGCTCGGCCGGTTCCATTCCCGGCGTGAATTCAACGCCCGAGAACAAGACCTATCCAACCATAGAGATTGTCGGCTACAAGGGACGCGCCGTCGTCGTTGTGTCCTGCGTCACCAAGGATACACCATATCGGTAAAAGTTTGTTTTAGAAAACTCCGTTTCTCTCTTAATCTCCCTCTCTCTCTCTCTCTCTCTCTCTCTGTATATGTAGTCCACATCCACACAATCTGGTAGGAAAGGAGGGCTGTAAGAAGGGCGTCTGCACCCTGGAGATCAGCAGCGAGACAATGCGAGCCGTGTTCAGCAATTTGGGCATTCAGTGTGTCAAGAAGAAGGACATCGAGGCGGCTCTAAAGGCGCGCGAAGAGATTCGCGTGGATCCATTCAAGAGTAGGCCAAGCAAGAGAAACTAAGTTGAGAAAGTAATTAATTCATGTTTATTCCCTAGCTGGATTCTCGCATCGTTTTCAGCCGTCGAGCATCGATCTGAACTCGGTGCGCTTGTGCTTTCAAGTATTCATGGAGAGCGAGCAGAAGGGTCGCTTCACATCGCCCCTGCCGCCCGTCGTCTCTGAGCCGATCTTCGACAAGAAGGCCATGTCCGACCTGGTTATATGCCGGCTGTGCAGCTGCTCGGCCAGCGTGCTGGGCAACACGCAAATCATTCTGCTGTGCGAGAAGGTGGCCAAAGAGGACATCACGGTGCGCTTCTTCGAGGAGAAGAACGGGCAGACGGTGTGGGAGGCCCTGGGTGATTTCCAGCACACGGACGTGCACAAGCAGACTGCCATTACGTTTAAGACGCCGCGATATCATACGCTTGAAATAACGGAGCCCGCCAAGGTGAGTGCAGCATTCGAATCCCATGTCCCCATCTAATAATGGGTTTCCCATTGCCCGACAGGTTTTCATACAGCTTCGTCGGCCGTCGGATGGCGTTACCAGCGAGGCTCTGCCCTTTGAATACGTGCCATTGGATTCAGGTAGGCATACGTTCTGGAATCTTCATCGGCATCTCAAGCGGAAGCCCGATGAAGACATCTTTCAGCAAATCCTCGCGATCGACGCGGTCGACCGTTGCTCGGCCAAGCGCGAAACCCCTGCGATTGAGGTAGTGGATCTCAACACGCCCACCCTGGAGCAGGCCCAGCCTCAGCTGGTGCAGGCGGTTACGGCGGGGGCGGCGGCAGAGGCACAGCTGGAAGCGCATGTGACCGAGGATGAAACAGATCAGGCACCATTAGATATGGAAGCAGCCGATGCTGAAGCTGAGGCGGAGCGACTGCGAACTGAACTGGAAATCGATACGATCATTGATGAGAAGGTGCGCGAATTGGAGCAGTTGGAGTTGGAGCAGCAGCAGCAACAACAGCAGTTGGAGCAGCAGCAACATTTGGAGCAGCAGCAGCAGCAACAGTTGGAGCAGCAGCAGCAACAGCTGGAGCAGCAGCAGCAACAGCAGTTGGAGCAGCAGCAACACTTGGAGCAGCAGCAGCAACAGCAGTTGGAGCAGCAGATGGCAGCGCCAGAGCCGCACCAGCTGACGGCCACTGATAAGTGTAACGAGTGGATGAAGTCCAATGAGCTGCTGCAACAGCCCCACGAGCCAAGTCCAGATCCAGCGGAAGCCGAGGTCGAGGCCGATGACAGCGATGCCACCGCCGAGACTCAGGTGGCCGCCACGGACGAGGACAAGACGCTCAACGAGCTGCTCGAGCAGGTGGCCGAGTTGGACGAGATCTACACGGACTTTGTCATGCAGCGGGACACGTACAACAACACGCTGAAGAACGAGATGGAGAGCATGGGCAGGCCGCCCATGCAGGTGGAGGACAGCTTCGATGATGCGGCCACCTATACGAGTCTGCAGATCGCCTTCAAGAATCCAGTCAGTATACCTATGGACGACATCATGCCTCCGACGCCTCCCATGTCCCAGTGTGCACCAGAGGATGCGCAGCACTACGATGCTGTTGARGTGAACTCCCAGCAGCAGCAGCATCAGAAGCAGCAACAGCAGCAGCAACAGCAGCAGCTGCAAACCAATCAACAGTTGCAGCAACAGCAAGAGATTCTCAAAGAATACGAAATGGAGAAACGGGCACAGGAGCAGCTTGAGCGGGAGGCGGCTCTGATGCTGGCGTCTGCTGAGGAGGAGAAGCTGCCGCCGCTGCCGCCCAAGCGCTTGCGCAAGCAGGACAGCAATGCTGAGAATCGCTCGATCGAGGCGAACAGCGAGCCAGCTTCAAAGGAGAAGCCACGCCTGCCACCGCCCATTATTCATCCACGCGTCACCGATTTGCCAGCGGCGCCCACGAAGAAGCTGCCGCAGCCGCCGGAGACGAAGCCCAAGCCCAAGCCGAAGCCCGCAAAGAATCCGAATTTCAATACGCTGCCCAGGCAGAAGAAGCCCGGCTTCTTCGCCAAGCTATTCGCGCGGCGCAAGAGTAAGCCGGACCTGACAGACCAGAGCACTGAGAACTGCTCCAGACCCGACTCGAAACCGCCCAGTGCCACGGCCAGCAGCGAGCCCAGCTTGGACAATCTCAATACGCGAACGGCCAAAAGCAAGGGAACCAATGTGGTGCTGGGTCCACTCAAGTCAGGGGGCACAGGCAACGCGGCCACGCCCCGAAAGTCCGGCAAGTCAGGCAAGCCCTGCGGCCGCAGCGTAAGCAGCGTCTCAGGCAAGCGACCCGCCTACCTGAATGCGGACGTGGTGCATATTCCACTCAAGGGCGACAGCTCCAGCAGCCTGCAGCCAGCAGCCAACGAGGCCTACTCGAGCGCCAGCACAATCACAGTGGGCGGCCAGTTGGACAGACGCACTGCGTCCGCGCTGCAGCTGGCCGAGATTCCCATCAGCGAGGGCGGCATGGAGCTGGTGGCCATTGCCGACCGCCAGAGCTTGCACAATCTGGTCAGCTCCATCGAGGCGCACTTCAACGTCAAAATGGACCCTAACCTCGACCTGACGGAGGTCGAGCACTTTGCCCTCTACACGAGCGTGCCGCCTCAGGCGACGGTCAGTGAATTCGACGAGACCTCCGCCTACTATGCATCCGTGGATGCTGGCGAGATTCTGACGCCCGACCAGGTGGCCAAGCGGCTGGCGGCAGCAAACGGCAATTGAATATTGTTAACTCATTTACGAACAACCTCAGCTTGTCTGGTTGCCTAGGACTAGGACTAGGGATACCAAGTCGAGTCCCTAGAATCGAATCGAATCGAATCGAATCTCGTCGACCAGCTCAATTTGTGTGATTGGATAGGCAAAGGCTCTGCTTGTCGTCCCAATCGTCGATTGGATATTGTAACATGTTTTTTTTTAGCCCTACGAACAAACTTCGCATCGACTAAATCAGTTTGTATTGAGGGATTCCACAGCGAATTCCAAACCCAAAGAATCATCGACTAAAACAATTTGTATGGTTAGCTAAGAAAAGGACCCAAAGTCCTTAAGGCATTTTACACTTGGCAACGGGCGCTACACGAACCACAAAACACTATTTGGTGGCGCTCAAAATTTGTAATTGTATTTGTTTTAGAATTGTTGACACGCAATGCGTGCATACCCTATCTAACCTGTTGTATGATCGGGTATGCCGACTTTGTAAGCGTTAGTCAGCGAACACTTGATTTGTGCAGCAGCTCGAACTTTCGCTGCTCAACTTTGTCTTGAAGGGGCGCTGACTCGCATCGCTCCCCAAATTTGTATTTAGTAGCTCTAAGGGTTCTTTGAACCGAGTCAAGACTTGTCCAAACTTGTTGGCAATTAAACGAATTGCTATACTCTCTTTTTTATAGATCCAGCACACTTGAGGCGGAAACGTCAAAAGACTGGCGGCGATCCCATGCACCTGTTGCTCCAGCAGCAGCAGAAGCAACAGCATCACAATGATCATCAAGATCGTAAGTTTTCTTTTTTTTTCTTCACTTGGTGGTTGGTGTGTGGTGGGTGGTGGGTGGTGTTTAGTCTTCTCTTTTTTTTTTCTATCTCTGTCCTTTCTCTGTCCTCTTTCTCTGCTGTGTGTGGATCTATCTACTGCTCAGGCAGCATTGGTTTGAAGATAGACAACTTATCCTACCTAGAATATTTCGTATGTTTTTTTTTTGGCACGCTCTATGATGTATTACTCGTATAGACTATTAGAGAATATATTATTAATATTAAACCAGGAAACAGAATCGAAAACCAAACAATGCACAAATACTAAACAAAACTATTTTTTTTTTAAATACAAATTATACCTAAATAAATACGTAGCGTAAATATATATGTAGCAATTTTTTTTTTTGTTGGAATTTTATGAAAAAGAGAAGTACTTATGAAGTATGAAATATAATTATTTTTTTTTTTATTATCGCTTTGCTAATTGGGCAGAAAATACGAAAAAAAAAACAACCAAATTTTTTTTTTTTTTATACAAAGAAATTTTTTGAAAATACAAATATTCTTGCAAAACACTTTTTTTTTTTTTTTAGATAAATAAAAACGAAAAATAAGAAATAAAATTTTAGTTTTTATTTTATTTTTTTTTTAAAAAGAAGTTTAAGCAAACAAAGTAAGTTCTTACAAAGCGAAATCTTGCATTTTTTTTTGCAATTTTCCTTTTTTGTTTTTCCCGTAATACTTTTTCAATATTTAATTAGATTTTTTTTTTATAAAACATAAACAAATTATATTAAATTTAAAATCAAAGTGAAAGCAAATGTTTTTTTTTGTGCTCGTTCGTTACATGGATTTTTTATATTTTTATACCCTGAACCCATTGAAAATGGGAAATCAGGGTATAATGGTTTTGTGAAAAGTATGTAACAGGCAGAAGGAATCATCGCAGACCCCATAAAGTATATATATTCTTGATCAGGACGACGAGCTGAGTCGATATAGCCCTGTCCGTCTGTCCGTCCGT